CGACATCAACGAAGACTTCCAAGCAAATTACGCGTCAGGTATTTGCTGGATTTCCAAGAAATACCCTCTTATTATATTCATGGTGGCCCCAGTCGGCTTGATTATCCTTGTGAACCTGATACTTTTTACGATAGCCTCCCGAGCAATTCATGGCGCCATGAACAACGACAAAGAACTGAACTCTTCTAAAAATAAAAACCACCCCTTTTCCTTCTACGTGAAGTTGCTTACATTGATGGGAACACATTGGGTGTTTGGTTTTATTACCAGTTCGATGAGTGACCCAACAGTGTTCACTGTGTTTTGGTATATATTTATTGTCACAGCCACATTGGACGGTGCGTACATCTTTCTATCTACAGTGTACACCAAGTGAGAATGGAAGATTTGAGAAAAATTCAGATTGAAAACAAGCCGCCATGCTCTGGACTCTACACCCGTGTTCCTCGCCTCGTCAAAAAGGAGCAACGTAACGTCGAAGAGTAAAAGCGCATGAACAATGTATCTCTAATGTGAGAGTGATTACACAGATACTGAATCTGAAACTGTGGCGAAAACAGCTCACAAAACCTGCACTTTGAACGGAGAGGTATGCTGAAATCCCAGAAACAATAAAAAAACGTACCAAGAACAGTTCACAGGACGTTTTGTCTCTTATTTTTCTAGTAATATATCTTAATGTATTATATTTGACACCTAAAAAGCATACTGTCATTCTATATTTAAACTGTTTTCTAGAAAATCTTTTTCACAGAAAAACACCATTTAGGTAACTAGCAGAACTGTACTTTGCCTGCTAACTGTTTCAAACTGGGGAGACCACACAAGTTGTCCCAGGCGCCATTTGAAAGGGGCGTCACTGACAGGTTTTACAGGCCTTAACTTATTGGTAGTCATTGTCCCCATATGGAAATGTCTTTATTATATTATATCATTACTTAATAGTAAATGCATCTATAATTTTATTTCTATTGTACATTTCCATCTACCCATGTGTATGTATACGTTACAATGAATAAATCATTTAAGCATCTTATTTGAAATGTGTGGCTTGACAGAGGCGCCGTTTTGAATTCCCTGGCCGGTATATTAAAAGATAAAATTAACGTAATTTATTGGGCCATAGCCGAGTAGGGTACATGTAGCAGGGGCGGATCCAGGATTATTTAAAGGGGGTGGGGTGGGGGACGAAGCCACTTGGCTTGGGGTTAGGGGCCTGATGTAAGGCCTCGAAAAACCTTTGGTATTTTAGAGGGTGAACGGTGCCATTTGCTTTGGTTCACCTAGTCAAAATTCTAATTTCAAAAGGGGACCAGAAATTGAGGGGGGGGGGGGGGGGGTCAGGACCCCCTAACCCCCCCTCTAAATTCGCCATTGAATAGGGCCGATAGTTAAGACATGATTAAATCGGCGTGTTTTCTGAAAGAACGTATTCAGTCCTGTGTATGGTTACAGTTATTTAAGAATGACACTTTTATAAATTACATATCACGAACTTTAACACAATGATAGGCATACAATATCTTAAAAAGCGCGAAATACAGCAATGACTAAAATAATTTAATCTTCTGTAGTGATTTTAACTTGATCGTTGGAAGTGGAAAAATGATAATTAGTTTTAAATTAGTTAAAAATGAAAGGGCATTTAAACAGCAATTACATTGCGAGTTATTTAAATTGAGGATCAAATTGTTTTCAAAACGTACACGAAAAAAGATATATTAAGCACATATTCCTAAAAAATGGTTAAATAAAACAAAATAAACAAAATGCAAAAATTAACGCTAAAACTACATTTTCGAAAAAAATCCTACCGTGACTTCTTAAAGCTTTTTTGGTCAGATGATTAAAATATACTTCAGTTTATCAAACTCATTCTTGATTTCTCAGAGAAAGACAAAACAAAAAAAAGTTAAGAATCTTTGAGTATTAATTTTCCGAAAGACATAAGAAGCAATTTTTATGCATCAAGTGTCTTTTTTGATTACCACAATACGACGAAAATGTGCAAAGTTATTAACTTTGAAATTGCAGAGAAATTGTTGGAATTCGTGATTATGAAAGAAAGCATATAATAAAGACATTAATTATTATGTAAAAAAAGAGTTGATGTAAATAAAAGCTTTTCAAGTAAGGGTGCAGTAGTCAGAGGGGAGGGAGGGGTGCTTAAATCTTTCGATAGGAGAAAATTGCCCTTAGTCAATTGCAAAGAAATTCCGTTTGGCCGGTAAATTCCGTGGAGATCACCTTTAACATATTCATTTTGACACAAGTCGTTCATGATTGAGTGTTTTTATTATTGAAATATGAAAGTCATAACAACAAAATAAACAATACACAATAATTATGTTTTCTTGTCAATGTTTAAAAGCGACGAGAACAGTCAGGCCATTACCATCGGTTTCATCAACAGAATAAAGTACTTGTACACATGAGAAAATACTATACAAGACAGGTACCGCAGTTTAAACAAGGGGGGGGGGGGGGGCAATCACCACATATATACATCGCAGTCAGTTTCTAAAGACAGTTCTGACTTCGCCATAAATTCTGTTATTTTTTTTCCAGACTGGTGACGTGTTTTATAATCAGAACACGTTGTCGTCCAGTTTTTCACTCCATTCTTCTTTCCAACTCTACCCTCTCTAGACCTAGTGTGACTGCTCTTTATCACCATCACCCATCATCATCAAATTAAGACTTTCCAGAGAAATCATCCTGCTATCACCGCCACTGGACTGGGTGTTGTCTTGTTCTCCGACTCGTGCTTTGATGGAACTTCAGCTAAGACGAAGAAATGCACACCCATTCCCCTCGTCTGAAATACAAAGTATAATACACGTAAAAAGGTTGGCTGGGCTCAAAAAAAAGATTGAGATTGAAATATTGAAATAGATTTTGGTCGTGGTTTCTAGACTTTCCCTCGGAATGGCCACGTACATTTTGTATTTTCTTTTCAATCAATTTATCAATCAGCTGTATACATGTATATTTCATACATCGCAAGCATTGGGCATCTGTGCACGATCTTTTTTTAAAGTTACACCTCACGTTGTTTACATAAACATTTCAACATAATGTACATAATGACATAAATAATTCGCATCTTGTCCCTTTTATCTCACCTGTGGCTAATTTTATGCTTCATCGATCTCCTCCATCAAATCCTCCACTACGTCATTCAGGTCCTTACGAGACAGTTTGGACATGTCCAGTTCGTCAGAGTCATCACGTGGGTCTGTCAGATTTCTTATAAAAAAGAAAAGAAAAAAATAGTAAGCAGATGGGTTTAAAATGCGATGCTTATTTACTCAGTATGTATCAGCGTTCAGAAGTTCTATTTAGCTTTAGTATAACCCTTATACTATAACCACATAGCTTGATCATTGTTAAAGATAAACTCCCATGGTTAAATTAAACTAAATCCTTTTTTATTCACTGGACATAACAAGTGGCAGAAATGACCTCTCTGTCTGATGACCACCAGTAACAGTGAAGATATCGCCAGGAGTCCGAGGGGTTCTCTGGACCTGCAAGGACACACCAATGACCAACAGATCATCCCTATCCTCCACGTGTTCTTCAGATAGACTGGGGCCAACTGCAATAACGACGAAAGTTTAGTGTCTGATGATCCGTAATTTGACATATATTCTGACGTAAATCTGATATTATATTTTATAATATATTATTTTCTTTAAGAAGACTGCTTGGGTTGAGATAAATATTTACTCCACATTTCGTTTACAAGAATACCGTGATACTAATGAAAGGCTTTTATTTATAAAGACAATTAATAACGGTAACCTTTATTCCCTCCTCCTCTGAAGAAATTTCTTATCCTTTGTCGGAGTCCCAACTTCTTCTTATCTGAAATGAATCATTACGTATGTATTTTTCAGTAGGGCCTAATTGCAAACTAATGTCACTGTTATTTTGGATTTGAAAAATCGCTAATAAAGCAGTTGTCTTCAAAATCATTTTTTTATTATTACCATTGTTAGACTCCTCCCATGCTCCGTGATGGCCGTTGGAGACAACAGCTGTAATAAGAACAATAATGTTTATTACAACATATCCAATATTCGGAGGAAAATGCCGAATAGTGATAACTACAATACTTGGCGCGTTTATTGCCAGTACTGTGAATTCTTTTACAAGTCAAAATCAAACTGAAATTACGAAAGATAAACACCAACAAAAAAATAACGTTTAACATACAGGAGGTAGAAGATAACACAATTTCATACTTACTAGACTGGGTGCATCCCATAGTATTCCTCTAAATTAAAACAATTTTTAGCAGCGCTAAGTTGAAGTGAATACCTTTCCGCTGTGCGAGAAAAGTGCATTATGGTACCGTAGCTACTGTGACGTCACAAAGTGAGGGCGCGTCTTGAAGTTCTCCATGTACATTTCACTGCCAAAGGGCGTTACGTCATAGCTACGGTATAACTCATTTTCTCTTTGGAAACTTGAAGTAGACATTTAGGAAAGAAATTTAGAAGAGTCAATATAAAAGCAATATAATAACAATATACGTAGCATCCATGACGTCACAAAGTAAAGGCGTGTCTTGACGCCGTTGACGTATATATCACTGATGACAGGGCACCAACAATGCTATTCAAAGCAAGAGTACTTTTTATAATTCGAAGTTTTAGGAACAGATTAAAAAAGGGGAACAAGCTTTGTACTCGTATAACGAAATTGAATATTGCCTCTTATATACAGTGCATAATTTATGAAAGTCAATTTTTGTGGAATGATTTTTTTACAAATTTCATCCCGTATTTAGTTATAATAAATGGAAACGTCGCCTAAGTAAAAATAAATAAATGACGGACTTTCAAAAAATATCTCAAAAACTGTATCATAAAACGGGGCGCAAAGGGCTGGGATCAATCTAGTTGATCCATGGTCCGTATTTTAAACATGATCAGAGTAAGCCTGGAAAAACAAAAACAAAATCATTTCAAATAATATCGAAGGATGTTTATTAATATTTAAGACATAAGGTGCAAATTTTTTTGTGTACCAAGTGCCTTGATTAATTGCCACGACACACATTTTAGAATATAATGCATTTATTAGTCGAATTAAATTCGAAATACGTTATCATGAAAGACACTGGTGATTGAGTCTGCTTATAATCAGGGAAAGATCTGAAAATCTCGTTTGAAAAAAAAGTGTTTTGGGTAAGCAGATAATGCCAAATATGTTTTAGTGTAGGAGAATAGGAAAAGGCTATGTAAGAACTCCCTTGAGCAATCGAAAATCAAGAAACTTTCACAGTTTTTCTTCCAAAAGCAACACGTCATAAACAGAGTGACCAAAAAAGCTTTTCCTGTCCTCAAGTCCTAGACGATACACGTTCTCCTTCAGTTCTCCAACTGGGAAATTTTCATCAACGAACAACTGAACAAATACGTTACCTATATTCAGTTCCTTTGCTTTAATCTGTGTATTGTTGACATGGCAACAGATATGATTATACAAGGCAGCGCCTCTGCCGTAAATGTCGATAAGAACTCGCAGACCAACGCGTGGGCAGCGCACTCGCGTCACAGCGCTGAAACACCCCGACGTCAATTCAGCCGTTCCGTTTGACACGTACAGATCGCTCTCGTTTTCAATCTGTTCGGCGTTGCTGGGCAGGATGGAATATGGGACGCCGTTAATAACAACACCGTCAGGAAACATGGTTGCTGTGGTCCCTGAAGACAGCCAATCTGCCGCCGATATCTTGTTCACTCCGGCAATTTCAGAACCTGAAACGAAAAAAAAATTATAAAAACTCAGTTACATTTCAAAAGGAAAAATAAATATCCGCAAGTAACTTTTTCCAAGCCTTCGCCTGCATGAGCTTTTAAGACAAACTAAAGCTTTAATACAGCATAGCATTAGTTAAATGACACCTAGCGCAATTTCACCATCTTTACGGCAGTGCACACCTAATACAATGAACAATGACCACAACATGTCAGGTATGTAATAATAATAACACCAGCACTCGTTTTATTACATTTAATGTGAGTGGTAAGGGCTCCAAAGCAGAACAGTTTTCTTCTCGATATTTCCACCATTCTGAGAGGCATCTTCACCGGTTTTCCCTCAGACGCGAACTCGATATCTCGTCTTTTCCTCAGCCCGGGATGCTTGGCCCTCTCTTCTTTAATAATGAACTCCACCAGTCGCTCCGCTATCCCGTGTTTTTGATGCGTCGGCTTCACTCTTCCTGCTCTTAACACTAAGGTGGTGGCATCGTCGTTGACGTGGGCAATACAGAACGCCACGGCCTCGCCCTTCAGCTCTGCGAGGTAGGCCGTTATGTGGGGGGACGTCAAATACCGGGGGTAACAATCAGGCAGATAGTCCAGCCCCTCGTACACGTGGTCATTTATACCCAGAACAGCGTCAAAGTCTTCCAACGCGGCGCAGCGGATTATCAAATCGTCCATTGCAGTGTCCATGTAGAAAAATTCTGGTCAAACTCAAATATCCATGTTAGCTGAGAAGTTTTAATCGACTGCTAAGTTTCTCTAAAACAAACTGGTCTCATTGTTTACCCTGATAACGCACAGCCCTGGGGTCAATGATAACTCTGTTTATTCATACCTAAAGGCCCTCGAGTCAGTGACGTGAAGGACGTTTGGCCAGGGCATATCTCATACAGTTATCAATGACCCTGATCGTAAGATGCCTTCCAATATCTTTCCTGGCCTTTGCTCGGAGCAAGCAAATATGTTTTGTTCGATTAATTAAACATATTTTTCGTTGCCTTAGTTTACAAGTGAAAACCATCAGTAGAAGTAGTCACTCAGATAATGACAGCATATATGCTAATTGTCATTCAGTCTTTTTTTGTGTGTGTGTGTGTGGGGGGGGGGGGGGGGGGGGGGGGGGGGGGGGGCGGGAAGGGACCCCCCGGGGGGGAAGGGCCCCTTTGAATAAAAATTTTAAAAAACTCAAAGGTTCTTTCCCTTTTNAGGTCCCTTCTGAATCAAAATTTAATAAACTCATAGGTTCTTTGCCATTTCTCAAGTTGGGGTTAAAAAGGTCACATTTTTGAGAAAACGAGACCCCCCACTCTGAAACTGCTGGCTACACTCCTGCTATGTTCCAGAGTCGCAGCTGCCGGAGAAATAGTCTAGATACCCTCCACAGCTGATTTCAGCACTGACCAATCCTACCGCTGCCTCCAAGTACATGATCAACATTTTCCAGCCATTTCAATCCCTTGGTGATCCTCTGCTGGAGAGATCTGTGGTAGTCTTGACTGCATAGTGTAGATTCTCCTTGGAGAGCATAGCTTTCTTTTTACAGCATAATATCGTCAAACTCCCGGGGTTCTCCTTGACTGGTAATTTCTGTCAAATTTTGATAGGTGGTACTAGTAGTAAGTTTCTGGAATAAATGGTAAAATTCTTTAAATATTTTGTATCCAGATAAAGGGGTGAGGATTGTTTTATTTTTCAGTGTTAAATGGCAAGTCTTTTAATTAAAATAATAATAATATAATCACAACAACATTAATGATAAACTATTATTATACATGTTAAGAAACCCTGTAATACATATAAACAAACATATTAATTTTAGTATTCTCACTCAAATGTCTGATTCATTCAATTCTATATCAACCTCTGGAAAAAAATGTACCCTTATTGAAATTTCTAAACACATCCAACTATAAACTCATCTGTCATACTGTGCATGCAATGCAAACTAAAATACAACATCTCAACTCTAAAATGATGACTGGAGAATACTTTGTACTTACCATTTTCCTTTCACATCTAGAAAACCTTGTTTTAAGTAGTTTCAACAGTTTAAAGTAGCCCCCTTGGTGTTTTCGTAGAACCTGGAGGAAGGCTCTGAGACCTAACCTGGAAATAATAATAATAATAATAATAATAATAATAATAATATAATAATAACCACAAATTTCAAAAACTATTGCAAATTGAAATGATCCCATGATTTAAAATATTTAATATAAAGAAGAGAGAGAAGAGTGAATTTCACCTGTGGTGGTAAAAAACAAAAATCAGAAAAATCAATTAAAGGCAAAAAACTGCTTTACAGATAGTAATTTATTCTAAATCAGTGGTGCTCTCACCATTCTGTCAGATCCTCTTTGATCCTTGTTCCTGGGTCTTTATGCTTGTCCCACACTCTGTGCTTGCCATAGCAGAAAAACAGATGAATGAGCTCCTGAATCAAGCCTGGGGGAAGGGGGTATGAAAAGATTCAGAATATGCTTTTTTTTAAATAAATTAAAAAAACCAAGACGAAATCTTTTAGGAATCTAAACAAAATGAAAAAAAAAAAACAGACAAGTTAACTTATTAACAGTATTGATAAACACAACGTGAATAAAATAAATAACACCAAATACAATATACAGATTGAGTATTATTTTTAAAAAGTTGACTTATATGCCAGCCACTTGTTATTAAAGAAGGAAATCTGCATCTTTTATGTAATAACATTTAATTCAATTTCACTGGACTGTTGTTCTTCACATCTGAAATATTGTTACAGACATTTAGTTACTTTGCATTAGGTTGACAATATTTCAGATGTGAAGAACAACAGTCCAGTGAAATTGAATTAAATGTTACAGACATTTAGTTACAAAAATACTTTTCTTCCGAGTCTTTCAAATGGGGGCGTCTCGATAGTCCAAAGGTTCATTGGTTCGAAAAATGGTAACATTTTCATCAGTTTTTTAATCAAGGGTTCACTGGTCCAAAGGTTCTATAGTGGACATTCGGACCAATGAACCGTCAGACTATTGCTATGGCCCCTTTCAAATTATACCTAAGAAGAAAGCTGGGTTTTCATTGGCTTTCCTTCCTGTGGGGAACTTTTTCATGAAACAATGAAATCTCCTGGCTGTCATCAGGAACATCTTGTAGGTGGAAAGCAGAACAGTCGGGAGAGAATTCAGCTGAAAAGCAAATTTAACATTTCAATAACAAAATTTTAAAGTAAAAAAAATCATTAAGGATTTGAACTATTTTTGAAGTCATAGAATACAGCATATGTACATGATTAAATATAAATATTAATTATTAACATTACACAAAAAAAATAACAGAGAAGTTATTTTAGCTAGCACAGTTGATTGATGTCTGAATTCAGATAAAATTCTAAAAAGATATTCTCTGATTCATGAGATATTAACTTACTTGGATATCCAAGAAAATTCCATGGCATCTTTGTTTGAGAGAACTGTAAGGTATGAATGTGACAGTTTCATAATTACATTAATTTTTTTCATATGAATCATTTTGGGTATGTGAATGAAAGCATTAACAGAATCTTTTTTGGTGCAGAACAACTGTGAACTGATCTAATGGTCTGATATGAACCCCCAGAGAGAGAGAAAGGGGAACAAGATAAGCCTCACTGCAATACTTGAGGTATGATAATTAACATTGTATGCAAATCAAGTGGCAGCCATGATGAATAAAAACAAGCAAACAACAGAATTGCCTAATATTGTCAGTTTTATTTAAAGCAGATTCCATTAAAAACAGGCAGAACAGGGACCAAATGTCTCATTAGTTACTAGGCTATGCAGACTACTTATACTTACAATGCCAAAGTCTCCCTCAAAGCTCTTACTCCACATTCCATTGTCATTGTGTCTCTCAAATCTGGATCAAAACAAATGTATCAAATCTGAATAAACTCGAGTTAAATAAAATGTAATTGAACTAAATCTAGTTCAATAAATAACCTTATTATCAATCAGTTAATATAAACTGACTCATTGATTAGCTCAATTCTCTTACTAAATTATTTATCTATCATCCAAAAATGAAGACTGTGAAGGAAGTGATATATAATGTGTGTAATTAATTTACAAGGTGATCATTGCAGTAAATGATGGAAACAACAATGATTTTATTGATAACATTTAATAGTAACAAGACTGAGACTACTGATATAAATAATTAAATAAATAATATAAATTGAATAAAAATTAATTATTCAGAATATAAATTAAAAATAAATAAAAATAAAATATATAAAGATATAAAGTTCTCACTCAGTCCATTATAACGGCTGTAGTCCACCATGACCTCTAAGGTTGCCATGTGCAGACATAACCCACACCATGGAAACAGTGCTGGAAAGTATACAGGGACATAAGACCAACACTTGGGAAGAAAACAACAAAAAATTGGACTAGAGAAAAAAAAAAAATGATGAAATTCTCGACAGATTTGAAAGAAAAATCAACTGATATACATGATTTGATAATACATCAAAGAAAAATAACATACTATCCACAACATTTCAAGAAGTAACATATGAATATTTATTTCTATGATGTGGTAAAACTAGCTAATGTACTGAAACGGCGAAAAGAATGACTGGAAATGCAAACTCCATTTAACATAATGCAGCTAATATCATAATTCAACAATTTTGATAAGGAAACTATTATTAATATTATTTTTATTACTGATATAATTTTAATATTACTATTTAATATAAATATTGTTATTATTATAATTATTACCATTACTATTTTTATAAACATTATTATTATTATTGTTATCATTATAATAATAATAATAATAATAATAATAATAATAATAATAATAATANCCAAGAGATGGGTATGGGGGCCCTTCCCGTCTAGGAGGAGAAGCGGTAATGGTAACATGGCCACGGAGCCGGCGGAATGGACCGGACAGGACTAAAACCATGTGTACCGCCAGCGCTAACGCTGGTGGTACAATAAACTCATAGGTTCTTTGCCATTTCTCAAGTTGGGGTTAAAAAGGTCACATTTTTGAGAAAACGAGACCCCCCCACTCTGAAACTGCTGGCTACACTCCTGCTATGTTCCAGAGTCGCAGCTGCCGGAGAAATAGTCTAGATACCCTCCATAGCTGATTTCAGCACTGACCAATCCTACCGCTGCCTCCAAGTACATGATTAACATTTTCCAGCCATTTCAATCCCTTGGTGATCCTCGGCTGGAGAGATCTGTGGCAGTCTTGACTGCATAGTGTAGATTCTCCTTGGAGAGCATAGCTTTCTTTTTACAGCATAATATCGTCAAACTCCCAGGGTTCTCCTTGACTGGTAATTTCTGTCAAATTTTGATAGGTGGTACTAGTAGTAAGTTTCTGGAATAAATGGTAAAATTCTTTAAATAATTTGTATCCAGATAAAGGGGTGAGGATTGTTTTATTTTTCAGTGTTAAATGGCAAGTCTTTTAATTAAAATAATAATATTAAAATCACAACAACATTAATGATAAACTATTATTATACATGTTAAGAAACCCTATAATACATACAAACAAACATATTCATTTTAGTATTCTCACTCAAATGTCTAATTCATTCAATTCTATATCAACCTCTGGAAAAAAATGCACCCTTATTGAAATTTCTAAACACATCCAACTATAAACTCATCTGTCATACTGTGCATGCAATGCAAACTAAAATACAACATCTCAACTCTAAAATGATGACTGGAGATTACTTTGTACTTACCATTTTCCTTTCACATCTAGAAAACCTTGTTTTAAGTAGTTTCAACAGTTTAAAGTAGCCCCCTTGGTGTTTTTGTAGAACCTGGAGGAAGGCTCTGAGACCTAGCCTGGAAAAAAAAAAAAATAATAATAATAATAATATTATTAATAATCACAAATTTCAAAAACTATTGCAAATTGAAATGATCCCATGATTTAAAATATTTAATATAAAGAAGAGAGAGAAGAGTGAATTTTACCTGTGGTGGTAAAAAACAAAAATCAGAAAAATCAATTAAAGGCAAAAAACTGCTTTACAGATAGTAATTTATTCTAAATCAGTGGTGCTCTCACCATTCTGTCAGATCCTCTTTGATCCTTGTTCCTGGGTCTTTATGCTTGTCCCACACTCTGTGCTTGCCATAGCAGAAAAACAGATGAATGAGCTCCTGAATCAAGCCTGGGGGAAGGGGGGGATGAAAAGATTCAGAATATGCTTTTTTTTTAATAAATTAAAAAAACCAAGACGAAATCTTTTAGGAATCTAAACAAAATGAAAAAAAAAAAAAACAGACAAGTTAACTTATTAACAGTATAGATAAACACAAAGTGAATAAAATAAATAACACCAAATACAATATACAGATTGAGTATTATTTTTAAAAAGTTGACTTATATGCCAGCCACTTGTTATCTTTTATGTAATAACATTTAATTCAATTTCACTGGACTGTTGTTCTTCACATCTGAAATATTGTTACAGACATTTAGTTACTTTGCATTAGGTTGACAATATTTCAGATGTGAAGAACAACAGTCCAGTGAAATTGAATTGAATGTTACAGACATTTAGTTACAAAAATACTTTTCTTCCCAGTCTTTCAAATGGGGGCGTCTCGATAGTCCAAAGGTTCATTGGTTCGAAAAATGGTAACATTTTCATCAGTTTTTTAATCAAGGGTTTACTGGTCCAAAGGTTCTATAGTGGACATTCGGACCAATGAACCTTCAGACTATTGCTATGGCCCCTTTCAAATTATACCTAAGAAGAAAGCTGGGTTTTCACTGGCTTTCCTTCCTGTGGGGAACTTTTTCATGAAACAATGAAATCTCCTGGCTGTCATCAGGAACATCTTGTAGGTGGAAAGCAGAACAGTCGGGAGAGAATTCAGCTGAAAAGCAAATTTAACATTTCAATAACAAAATTTTAAAGTAAAAAAAATCATTAAGGATTTGAACTATTTTTGAAGTCATAGAATACAGCATATGTACATGATTAAATATAAATATTAATTATTAACATTACACAAAAAAAATAACAGAGAAGTTATTTTAGCTAGCACAGTTGATTGATGTCTGAATTCAGATAAAATTCTAAAAAGATATTCTCTGATTCATGAGATATTAACTTACTTGGATATCCAAGAAAATTCCATGGCATCTTTGTTTGAGAGAACTGTAAGGTATGAATGTGACAGTTTCATAATTACATTAATTTTTTTCATATGAATCATTTTGGGTATGTGAATGAAAGCATAAACAGAATCTTTTTTGGTGCAGAACAACTGTGAACTGATCTAATGGTCTGATATGAACCCCCAGAGAGAGAAAGGGGAACAAGATAAGCCTCACTGCAATATTATCAAAATAAAGGGATGAAATGTTTTCAATACTTGAGGTATGATAATTAACATTGTATGCAAATCAAGTGGCAGCCATGATGAATAAAAACAAGCAAACAACAGAATTGCCTAATATTGTCAGTTTTATTTAAAGCAGATTCCATTAAAAACAGGCAGAACAGGGACCAAATGTCTCATTAGTTACTAGGCTATGCAGACTACTTATACTTACAATGCCAAAGTCTCCCTCAAAGCTCTTACTCCACATTCCACTGTCATTGTGTCTCTCAAATCTGGATCAAAACAAATGTATCAAATCTGAATAAACTCGAGTTAAATAAAATGTAATTGAACTAAATCTAGTTCAATAAATAACCTTATTATCAATCAGTTAATATAAACTGACTCATTGATTAGCTCAATTCTCTTACTAAATTATTTATCTATCATCCAAAAATAAAGACTGTGAAGGAAGTGATATATAATGTGTGTAATTAATTTACAAGGTGATCATTGCAGTAAATGATGGAAACAACAATGATTTTATTGATAACATTTAATAGTAACAAGACTGAGACTACTGATATAAATAATTAAATAAATAATATAAATTGAATAAAAATTAATGATTCAGAATATAAATTAAAAATAAATAAAAATAAAATATATAAAGATATAAAGTTCTCACTCAGTCCATTATAACGGCTGTAGTCCACCATGACCTCCAAGGTTGCCATGTGCAGACATAACCCACACCATGGAAACAGTGCTGGAAAGTATACAGGGACATAAGACCAACACTTGGGAAGAAAACAACAAAAAATTGGACTAGAGAATAAAAAAAAACAATGATGAAATTCTCGACAGATTTGAAAGAAAAATCAACTGATATACATGATTTGATAATACATCAAAGAAAAATAACATACTATCCACAACATTTCAAGAAGTAACATATGAATATTTATTTCTATGATGTGGTAAAACTAGCTAATGTACTGAAACGGCCAAAAGAATGACTGGAAATGCAAACTCCATTTAACATAATGCAGCTAATATCATAATTCAACAATTTTGATAAGGAAACTATTATTAATATTATTTTTATTACTGATATAATTTTAATATTACTATTTAATATAAATATTGTTATTATTATAATTATTACCATTACTATTTTTATAAACATTATTATTATTATTGTTATCANAAAAGAGAAATGTGCTTGAGATCGCCCACAGCCCTGTATTGTATAAGGTCATAAAAATCGGTTCTCAATCCATCCATAACATACAAAAGACTTTCTAAATATCTCCAAGGTGTACCAGTAGCTCCAGGAACTTACCTAGACTTATGTATGGCTCTCTTGAACTCTCTGTGTAACTCTTTCACCTGTCTCTCCGCCTCCTCATACAGCTCCATCTTCAACTTGTGAATGATCTCGCACTCCTTCATCTCCTTCTCTGCCTCGTTCTCCTGGAAATATGGCATATTTTATCATCAATAAATTTTATTGTTTCTAATAAAAAGAATAATTATGTTTCTTTATCTTCATGCAGCTGTACCTTCAGTTTACTGACTCTGAGGATTTCATACTTCAATTCATTGTGCCCAGTTTTCCTACAAATGATTAAACAATCAAACAAACAAATAAATAAATAAACAGAAAGACAGACAGACAGACAGAGAAGTAAGTAAGTAAATAAAAAGATGGAAGGATGGATTATGGATAGGTGAATGAATGTAATGCATAAAATAAAAAATCTGATCATATATACTCTCTACTGTCCCAGACATAAAAGATATCGATTCCACATCTAATCCTGACCCACCTTCATGGTGGCATGGTTGAGCATCTCCTGCCACGCGGTATCAAACTGTTCTCCGCGGTCCATGTACGCTTCCTCCGCCAGACAGACCATCTCCTTGGCGGCCGACTGCGCACTGCACGCCTTCTCGTAGCGGAATGCTGCCTCCTGGGACTCACTCTGAGCCTGCGGGAGAAATTAAATTTTTTCTCAATAATACTTTCAAATATCATACAGTATTTATATACTGGTAAAAGGTGCGCTTCGCAAGTTTTGTTGGCTATTTACCAAGCAAGCAAGAGCAAGCATGGGAAGTGAGTGCAGCAGAGAATCTCTTGTAAAAGGTGCAGAAATTAAGCACAGAATGTAATCTTGAACATGAAACCTACTATCTGTATGACATTATCAAGTATAATATTATACAAAACTTTGGTAAATGGCAGCATGAATGGTTTTTATACTAGCCCTGTGCCTCCCTTTGGACGCAGATTCACCTTGAGTTAGTATCTAATGGCACACCCTGTAAGATCAACTTAAAGTTCTTTAATTAAGTGATCCCTGGTCCCCCTCACCTCCTTGGCTCTCAGCCTGGCTTCATAATATGGTCTGGACCTCTCTATGCAGTGCCCCAGCTTCTTGGCAAGTTCATCCAGCTTGTGTGTGGATTCTTTGAGAGACTGGCGGAATGCATATCTTGCCTCCTGGGAAAATCATTAAGTGAGTGTGTTATTATCAACAGTTTGAAATCAGTGTGCAATGTCAAGTTTCAGTTCTGTTGAAACATTTTTAACAAAATTGGAACATCATTTTTATAGTATAGAACAGATCTTGATGAAGAAACTGAATTCAATATTTCAGTTTTTTTCTTCTAAATTATATATAAAAATAGCAAGTCAGCTGACGTATCAAAACATTTTAATCTTCAATGGTTTATAAAACAAGGCAGCAAAGCTGTCAAATGTACAGACAAAAGCAGACAATAACAATGCACAAAACAGGCTGTCAATTCTGATGCAAAAGTACATTATGCTTAACTGCAAATTCAACATCAAATTTTAATTATGCTCAACAGGTAATACCAATGTAAGTGAAATGTGAAACAAGCGTAAGGCTTCGGGCCCATGGGAATTTAAGTTCACACTTTGAATATGCCAGAATGAGAAAAATGAAAATTTCACATAAAACTGCTTAAATTCAATAATAAATGATAACCCATTTGAGCTGGTTTTCTTATTTGAACTGCATGCCAATCCTACAAATCATACTTGTAAGTTGAAAATACTAATAAGTAACACAGTTTTCTTTTCATAATGTTTGTAGTAGCAGGGCAAAAAGATTTTTGTCAATTTTGATGTAACATTACATAATAAATTACAGAATAATTATCACCAATTTTTGATTATTGACTATAAATAGCATGGACATGTACAAAATTTGNATTATTATTATTATAACTACTACTACCACTATTTCAAACTGTTCTAGAAGTGTAAAAGAGTCTCAATTACAACTGTCCCCACAAGGTTACCTGCAGAACAAACAGGAATTATGTCATCACTCTCAAAACTGGCCAAGGTCTTGGACTTGTTGATGAAACAATTAAATTCTTTTATACCTAAAAGTGGAAATAAATTACCCTTGATAAAATCTATGAATGAAATATAAAATATATGTGGTGTTTAATGGGATATAGTGAAAAGAAAAACGTCCAAAACCTTGTATGATAGCTAAAAACTGCATGGCTGATGAATTCATGTCCTAAATTCTTAATTAAAAGACATATTTTCGTCTTTAAATTTATTTTTGTTCCTGCAAAATGTATATGATGCTTATAATCATGATAAATTAATTGATTAATAATAGTCCCCCTCCCATATTGTCTCATGAATTGGTAGCCCTGGAAGGAATAATGTGTGCTTGTGCAAGCATTTGTGCATATGTGCAAGTGAGTGGAGAAGAGAGGCTGCAAGATAACAGCCGAGGCAGAGACCTACCATCACTCAATCTTTTCAAAAAAGCCCTGGCATTCTCCAAATGTGGTGTCACGAACAGGAAATCGTCCACATGCCGCATGAGCAGCTCTCCCTCCGACACTGCGAACACGTCCCTCTCCATGGCAGCGTAGTACAGGTTACATAACATGGACGATAGGACGGAACCCTGGCTGATCCCTCGGAACTGGTGGTAATACCGTCTGCCAACCTGGACATTGCAATGAAATTTCTACTGATAAAATGAAAGAGGAGAAAAAGCTAAAGACAAAATGATGGCTAATTCTGGTGAAGAATTAACAACAACGGTGTTCAAAATTTGGGTATTCAGAATTTGTTGTTTTTTTCCCCATCAAAATTACAATGTTGTACAGGGACTACATTCTGTAACAGTAAGAACTGCTGGGATAGGTAGATGTATGTCAAATAATAAAAGAACTATTATACAGAACAATAATTCACAGCATGTTGTCTACGGAGTTGAAACAATGTAGCAAAATAAACATACAAATAATGAGTTTAGAAAATCTTTTCACAAAAATGGCAAATACACAGACAAAACATTCCATCAAACATTTTCACATGAGCAGGTGCATTCTAGCAAACAATGAAGAAATTATCCAAACATGCAATGCTTACAGTGACAAACTTTATGAACATTAGTTAGTTTGACATCAATATCTCTTTAGCTGATAAAGAGGTCAATCTTCAGACCCCTCGGTTAGGTAACATGTGCATCAACCTTACCTTTACCGTGAACCAGCATCGCACACAAAGATAAAGATATGAACAGACTGTGAGATGGTTCCTCAACCATAACTCCTAAACCCTTTGATATCTACACAGATATCGTAGTTTGTGATGGAGAACTTAACTTTCAAAGAAGCCACATTGCAGGATTATGATGCTGTGATGGCAATCAATGACAACATTTATGGCGGCCTAGACTACCTTCCTGACTATTATAAACTCTTCATGACAATGCCGTCCATGACAGCCTTTCTGGCAGAAAAGAAGGGTGAGACTGTGGCTTTCTGCATTGCTCAGATACTGGACAATGAAACCACCTTAGTGCTGAGAGCCGCTCGCGTCAAGGAAGTCTACCAGGGGAAAGGGATTCTAAAAGAATTGACAGCACATCTGAAGAGAAAAATGAAACAGATGTATCCAACAATACAAAGAAGATGCATTGTTACACTTCAAACCGTTGGAGACGAGAAGCCATTTCCCACTGGATATGTTCAGATTTGTAAAAAGCGAATGCTTAGTTTTTATCAGCAAGCGTCAATCATAGAAAAAAAGTTGATGGAAATGGGAGAGTCTGCTGGAGGAATTGATGTGCATCAACTGGGGTCCGAAGAGCTACAGCAGCTGCTTGGATCAAAATGGGCTTTAAATTTGTTTCCGAAGGAAAAGGTCATAATCAACTGGGTCCCTTATTCCATCATACCAAGTAATGGACCAATCATAGCAACAGAAAGTGATGCCTTCCTGACACATGAAGAAAATAAGGATAAAGCAGAGCAAAGTCCTGATGTCTTCAGTGCAGTTAATTTCATCTTTTGCAAAAAAATTGGGCTGCGACTCAGTCTTGATCTTTATGGCATACGCCAATCCAATATGGCTGTCGTCAAAGAGCACATTGTACATCATGCGCGGAATGCAGTCTTCAAGGCCAAAGAAGCTGGGTGTGAGGGCATACATGTTGAGTTGTACGTAGAAGTTGATGCCCCTTTGGAAGAACTGCTGGGCATTACCTCCAGTCTGGAACTGAAGTCAAGTGACTTCTTTGTCATGAATAAGGAAAAGTATGTCTACCTTCTAGAAGCAGTGTTGTAAACTTACCCTGAAGAGGTGCATATGGTGTCTTTTTCGACGACATTTCAACTGTTTTTTGACATCATCCAAAATGCCCTCAATGGGCTCTAAACTAAATCTTTGACATTTTGAAAGTCAAAAAAAGGATCATAGTGACAGTTTCAAATTTAAGTCAAAATGTATTTATCAGCAAGGCGAATGCAGTTTTGTAAAAAAAAATATTTTAGTGTAAACAGTAAGATGCGCTGTAATACAGCAAAACAGGAAAGATGATCCTTTAAGAACAAGGTAGTAAAACAGGTAAATATTATGAAATAAATGAAGTGTGGAGTAATGATCCAAGTTCATTTCCAAACAAATGAAAGGTATGTTGCTATTTTAGCACTACTGATGAGCACATTTCTATTTTTCCAATCCAATCCTTTACCTCTTAAGGCACAAAGGGCAATTTCCAGTTTCAAAAATAATTTGATCAAATCATTGATCACCAGTTTATGCTAAAAAATAATTCACAGTAAAATCAATTACTTTTAAGCACCATCGACATAAATAAAAATCAAATATCCAAAATTATATAAAATACCATGTAAGATGCCATCAGTTAAAACTAGAGGATCAGAGAGGCGATACCGCCTCTGGATATTGTACCACCAGCTGGAGTAAGCGCATTCATATGCCCCCCCCCCAAAAAAAAGAAAAAAATTGGACACCACCACCAGTCTTGTGCTTGACAAGCTCTATAAAATGCAATAAACAAGAGTTCTCAAAATAAAATAAAAATAAAAAAAATCGAAAAAACATAACAGTTAAAATGGTCCAATCAAGGAGATGTTCAAATTGACCTGTATTTTCCTAACACTGATCACTCCTGTGATTTTCTAGACAATAGGCCTATTGGTTTTCCTTGAAATGCATTATCAGCATTGCATATACCGGTATGCTGACAAAAGGGAAAACCTAGGGACAACACTGGGCAGATCTCTGCTAGTTTTGAAGATATGAAGGGCAAGAAAATATGCAGAGTTCAGGTTGTGGTAAAAAAGTAGGTCAAAGGTCAATTTCAAGGTCACAGTATATGACTTCCTATATAAGTTCAATAGTAGCTATGGGCATTTCTTTGCCAATGTTGGAGATATGAAGGCCAGGAAACAAGCAAAGTGCAGTTCATAAATAGTGGGTCAAAGGTCTATTTCAAGGTCATAGTAAGATTGGCAGTATATGACTTCCTATTCAAGTTCAATAGTAACTTTGGACCTATCTCTGCCAGTTTTCGAGATATAAGGGATAAAAAAATTTGCAAAGTTCAGCTTATGTTGAAAAGTAGGTTAAAGGTCAATTTCAAGGTCACAGTTAGATTACCAGTATATGACTTCCTATTCAAGTTCAATAGTAACTATGGGCATATCTCTGCTAATTTTGGAATATTGAACATTTTCCCCACTGAATATTGCGATGTTGTAATTTTTGATATAGCGCAATGCCTAAACCATATCGAAAACAAAAAAATGGACACCACCTCCAGTATTGCACTTGACAATTAAGTTCTACAAAATGCAATGAACAAAAGGTCTCTGGCATTTACCATTCCAAAATAAAACCAAGTTTTCAGTTTCGGTATCTAATGGCTGCTTCTCCCGTGAAAATGCACCGATTGACCCCAAACTCCCAAAGATGAAAGGAGTCCCCAATTGTAACCCCTCACTATAACAGGACAGCTTAGATCTGTGTAGTTTCCAAAAATAGCACAAACAAATATTTTTTTGCAGAAAATTCCCATTTTTAGAAAATTTTGGCTTGTTTGACCTTGAAAAAAAGGTCAAAAGTCAAATCCAAGGGCATATTTGGAATCTCCACATATGACTTTCGGTCAGGCTTCTGTGGTAATTTTCCCCATAATTCCTTTGGTTTGGGAGATATTTAGCCTTGAATTTTCAAACATTTTGACAAGGGTGTGTTTCAACAAGTGTCACACCCAGGCCAATGCACCGACAGAGACAAAAAACCAGGGGGTTCAAGTTGAGATTATATGTGACCTAAATCCAAGAGATGGGGACAGGTCCTGGCGGTCTAGGAGGAGAAGCGGTAATGGTGACTTGTTTCCGGCGCTCGACTGCGGAGCCGCGGAGCCGCAGGAGCCGGCGGAGCTGTATGAGACGGGTCGGGACTAAAACCATGAGTACCGCCAGCATATACGCTGGTGGTACTAATGAAAGAGACAGCAATAAATTTACAATTACAGTCAAAACAACTCTAAACTTGTGATAGTCTTTCAAATTAAAATAATGGCAACTCATAAGGAAAAGTAGCACAAGCACAATCTAAATGTACCCCTAACCTATTAATCTTAAAGTGACCTGCCAAAACCATCAGACTCAGAGAGAGTATGATACAAAGTGGATGATATCTTTATGTCAATAAAGTATAAGACCCTGATATGGGGATGCATGCCACTTAGTTATGTAAGGGTTTTGCAGTCCACCTGATATCTTGGTGTGAGTGATAAAAGCATACAACAGACTGGAACAATCTAGGTACAATAAAGGTGAAGCCACTTGGCTTTGTATATTTTCAACAACAACGACAATGGTGGACTTAACGTTCCGTACTGCAAATCTTCAGGATTACGAAGCAATCTTGGCAATTCACGCCAATGTCTACTTTGGTCTGGACTACCTTCCCGACTACTACAAACGCTATGTAACCTACGCTCATATGACCTCCTATGTAGCCGAACAAGATGGAGAGATAGTGGCATATTGTCTGGCACATGTTAATGATGACGAAACTTCTCTTATCATGCGAGCAGCAAGGGTGAAGCCCACTCATCAAGGGCAGGGGATTTTAAGCAAACTGAAGACGTTTCTGAAAGCGCAGGAGGTACGGAACCATCCAAACCTCCGAAAGATAAAAATCACAGTCTGCATCCCGCTCACAGGCAACAAAGAGCTCCCAAGAAACTATGAACAGATTTTCAGACGCAAGTTGTATTGTTTTCAGCAAAAGACAGCCTCCATACGCAAAAAAATTACTTGGGATGTAGAAGAAACAACAGGCAAAGTGCACCAAATGTCAACAGAGGAGCTGGAGACGATTTTGGGATCAGAAACAAACAAACACTTATTTCCGTATGGCACTTTCATTATTAACTGGGTCCCATACGCCACTCTGACAAGCAACGCTCCAATCATTGAGGCTGAAAGCGATGTCTATGCATCGTATGATGAAAACAACACAGCATTCAAGAAAACTCCAATATTTCTCAGCGCAGCTACACAAATAATGTGTGAGAATGTCAGGCTGAGGGTGGGGTTGGACTTGTTTGGAACAAATATTGATGCCGCCACTGTGTGCAATCACATCTTCTACCAAGTCTGCAAAACAGTCGACAAGGCAGAAAACATGGGGATAGAAACCATCCATGTTGAGTTTCATGCAGAAGAAGAATTATCAAAGGAAGTACTGATGCACACAGCTTCAGTGTTAGGTCTAGAACCCAGCATCGGATTTTTTGGTGCTTGTGAAAACTATGTGTATCTTCTAGAGGCAAACATTTAGGCATGCATGTACATGTACTAGTAAAAACCCCAGTACTAGGATGAATAATCTGCATCTAACGATTATAATAGATTTACAGATTTAGTCTTGGTTTTTAATTATAACAATTAAGCTGTTAAAAATCATATTTAAATAACTTTATGCTGTAGACGGCAGAATCAAGTTGTTTTATTTACATCTATAATGGCAACTGTAAGAAGAATAATACTGGAAATAATGATGTTGAAGAGACTGGTAAATGGAATGTTTAATCCAAAATAAATTGTGTACCCATAATTTTTGTCAGTACAGNCGACGGCGACGACGCAGGTGATGGCACTATGTACAGACACATCTGTGTCTGTACATAAAAATACTCCACAGTAAAATCAATTACTTTTAAGCACCATCAACATAAATAAAAATCAAATATCCAAAATTATATAAAATACCATGTAAGATGCCATCAGTTAAAATGAAAGAGACAGCAATAAATTTACAATTACAGTCAAAACAACTCTAAACTTGGGATAGTCTTTCAAATTAAAATAATAGCAACTCATAAGGAAAAGTAGCACAAGCACAATCTAAATGTACCCCTTGCCTATTAATCTTAAAGTGACCTGCCTAAACCATCAGACTTCAGATAGAGTATGATACGAAGTGGATGATATCTTTATGTCAATAAAGTGTAAGACCCTGATATGGGGAGGAATGTCACTGAGTTAACGTAAGGGTTTTGCAGTCCACCTGATATCTTGGTGTGAGTGATAAAAGCACACAACAGACTGGAACAATTCAGGTACAATTAGGGTGAAGCCACCTGACTTTGTCTATATCTGACAACAACGACAATGGTGGACTTAACATTCCGTACTGCGAATCTCCAGGATTACGAAGCAATCTTGGCAATTCACGACAATGTCTACTTTGGTCTGGACTACCTTCCCGACTACTATAAACGCTATGTAACCTACGCTCATATGACATCCTATGTAGCTGAACAAGATGGAGAGATAGTGGCATATTGTATGGCACATGTTAACGATGATGAAACTTCTCTTATCATGCGAGCAGCAAGGGTGAAGCCCACTCATCAAGGGCAGGGGATTTTAAGCAAACTGAAGACGTTTCTGAAAGAACAGGAGGTACGGAACCATCCAAACCTCCGAAAGATAAAAATCACGGTCTGCATCCCACTCACAGGCAACAAAGAACTTCCAAGAAACTATGAACAGATGTTCAGACGTAAGTTGTATTGTTTTCAGCAAAAGACTGCCTCCATACGCAAAAGATTTACTTGGGATGTAGAAGAAACTACATGCAAACTGCACCAAATGTCAACAGAGGAGTTGGAGACGATTTTGGGATCAGAAACAAACAAACACTTATTTCCGTATGGCACTTTCATTATTAACTGGGTCCCATACGCCACTTTGACAAGCAACGCTCGGATCATTGAGGCTGAAAGCAATGTCTATGCATCGTATGATGAAAACAACACAACATCCAAGAGAACTCCAATATTTCTCAGCGCAGCTACACAAATAATGTGTGAGAATGTTAGGCTGAGGGTGGGGTTGGACTTGTTTGGAACAAATATCGATGCCGCCACTGTGCGCAATCACATCTTCTACCAAGTCTGCAAAACGGTCGACAAGGCAGAAAACATGGGGATAGAAATCATCCATGTTGAGTTTCATGCAGAAGAAGAATTATCAAAGGAAGTCCTGATGCAAACAGCTTCAGTGTTAGGTCTAGAGCCCAGCATCGGATTTTTTGGTGCTTGTGAAAACTATGTGTATCTTCTAGAGGCAAACATTTAGGCATGCATGTACTAGTAAAAACCCCAGTACTAGGATGAATAATCTGCATCTAACGATTATAATAGATTTACAGATTTAGTCTTGGTTTTTAATTATAACAATTAAGCTGTTAAAAATCATATTTAAATAACATTATGCTGTAGATGGCAGAATCAAGTTGTGTTTTATTTACGTCTATAATGGCAACTGTAAGAAGAATAATACTGGAAATAATGATGTTGAAGAGACTGGTAAATGGAATGTTTAATCCAAAATAAATTGTGTACCCATAATTTTTGTCAGTAAAGAAGGCATTAAAATTTTATCAAGGTCCATTGTTAGTACCCTGTGACTTCCCACCCACCCAGATATGGCCTTAATCTCTTAATAACATAACATCTGATTAAATTATAAATCTCTGTTCAATCAGTACACCTGATATTTCCAGAACTGTGTTTAATCAAAGTATGTCCAGTTAAATCAACCCCATAGGTGCAGAACTATATTCCAGATAGATTGGATTAAAATGTGGGGACTTACAGGCCAATAGCCAGCAATTTCAAAAGGGGGATTCTTCTTCCAAAAAATTCAAACTTTTACTGTGACACCTTTGTGTACCTAGATCAAATTTTGCCCATTTTCCTGGCAAAAAAAAGGGAGGGGGGGTCATTTGAACCCCCTGAACCCCCCTGGCTACGGGCCTGTCCTGAGTAGACTTAGACAGAAGGGTGAGAGAAATAAAGGTCCAAGAACTTCAGAGTCCTGTCATATTCCCTCTCCCATGCCTCAGTGACAATTTTGTGTCATTGATGCTAAGTATTATGTTGATAAACAGCTCCAATATGTTTACCTTGATAATGTTGTGGAACAGGTGCGTCTTTATCAGACTCAGTAGACTCTCTTTATTCTCATGTCTGTACATAACCTGTAATAGAAAAATGAGTTTACAGTGTATATATTTTAAAAGATATAATTTAGGACCAAAATCCTAACTTTGGATTTTTACTAAAAGTTGAGTAAAAAAAAAAAATGAGTGAAAAAAAGACGCAGTTTGTAAACCTAAAAAAATCAACAAAATATGCAAAATAAAAAAAATCCTTAATAAGAATTGGGTATTTGCAAGTGACAAAAATATAAACAACATATAATCAAGTTTTTAAATTCAATTTGTAAAAATAAAATGGCCTAATGTCTGAAATTGTAGTAAGTACTTGTCAAAATTATTTAATTCAGCAACATTTTATATACTTGAATCTGTGATTGATTGGGTATTAAAGAAATTATAATGCTCAAAATGTAAACATTGTGCATTACCTGGTCAACAATAACAGCATTTCTTAAATGTTTCAATGATGACTTTGTAAATTTCTGGAAATCTGGCTCAAAATCTGTAAGTGTATGAACACTCTTTCTGAACTGTTTTCTCAGTCTTCCTCTCATATTCAATACCACTGCATACCTCCTGATGATGAATTCTGAGGCCTTAACCTGAAAATGCAGAAGTTTAAGGAGAATGTTACTTTGTGGCCTAAAAAATCAACAAAAATGATAATTTCTAGTCATTTCCAGTTATCCACTGTAACATAGTATTACATTACAGCAGAGATGTTATTGGTGTTTAGCATGCTGTGTACTTGCAACAGTGAAGTCTATGTCCAGACCATTACCTCCACTTCTTTCATTAGTTTCTTAACTGACCAAAATGCAAAGAAAATGACTGTTAAATTATCACTCAATTCCTGAAGTTGGAGTTCCAATTTTAATAAGACTGAATGTGGTAGGTGTGGCCTGTAGCAACGAATGGTTTCCAATAGTTACTAGTCAGAATTCTGAGAAAGTTCACAAACAATTTTCTTTCCTTCCTGAATTAGTTCTTAGCATTTACTTTGACTACCACAATGAACCAAAAGTGCAGTGATATACCTGCTTTTTTGTCCTCCTTACTCACAACCAAACTACACACACTCAAATCAATGCTTACAGAATTCAAGGCATTCTCCACAACAGAATACAGCTTCTCTGGAAGGATGGTGTCAAAGCATTTCTCAATGTCAGCTTTCACAAAATAAAGAGGCCTGGGGGATGGAAATTCAAGTTTATAAATAATAATTCAAAATTATAATGAAAACTTAGATTGTATTAAATGAGTCTTCATCACCATAGTCTGTATTATGACCACAACTGGCAGTGGGTGTACATGTACTTGTCTTTGATAAGTTAATTTTTATAAACAGCATGGATGAATTAAATAACGCCATTAGATACCATTATACCTATATAATAAACAAATAAGGTATGGTCCTCAGTGTCTAACAAAAATCACGTCCCAGTGACAGAAATAGGAGCCCAGGTGAAGGGTAAAAATGAATGGCAGTAAAACACATACCATACAGATTAGGGATACATACATGTATTACTGTAACTGGCCAATCAAAGACCTAGTATTCTACAAGAGGTATACACAGTTATAGCCGAGAGATAACTGCTGGGAATGTTCTGCCGAGCAGTTGTGAAAAAAAGAACCCACAAACCCAGTGTCCTCTGCTGCTCTTCTCTTCAGAACAAAATTTCTCCACTGAGCGTAGATATCATCTAGACCAAATACAGAGGAACCAACCAAACCAGGATTCATGTTCTGAAAAAAAGGCATCTCTCACATACAGGTGAGATATTAATAATGTATGTAAACAAGGCAGCAAAGCTGTCAAATGTACAGACAAAGAACAGAAAATAAAGATGCAAATAAGTGAAAAATTAAATTTTCACAAAAAACTGTTAAATTGCCAGAAAAATTTACCAAACAGACTGCGTTGCCTATTGAAGCTGTATGTTAGACCCATGTTTCTTTCCTGTAAGTTTGAGAACAGTAAGTGACATGATTTCCCTTAAATGGTCATCATAGGAGCAGTGCCCAAAATAGGGGTTTCTTCAAATTTTGATGCAACATTACATAATGTTTANCTGTACATAAAAAAGTTTCCACTTCATTGATGTGCATAGTAGGCTTAAAGGCATTATTATTATGAATCACAGCAGGGGGAATCATTCCCACATTTTCCTTTCATTTCAGTTAAAAAACAGAACAATCAATTTAAGATGTGCTCCAAAGTTTATCATGTATCTTATATTCTTTTATGAAAGACAATTATTTCTAAATTTGCTGAAATATTTCAGTAGCATAACTATTGTATAAGATATAAGGCTGGCACCCGAACAAGAACTAAGACAAACCTTGATGTAACTGAGAACATGAAGCACATTTGACAGCTGCTGTTTAACAGATAATGCCTGGAATAAGAAACAAAATATATGTACAAGATATATAGCCTAAGGACAATGTTTACTAAGCCAATTTGCTATTGAATCAAATGAAAATAAACAGACCACACTAAGAATAAAAATACAACAAACTAGATGATCCTGTGACTAATGAAAAATGTCACCATATCATTACCACAAAGTGTAAACAATGAAACAAATAGAACTACAGCTACATGTATTTGCACAATTATAGTGTCATTTGAATGGTGAATTCTGAAAAACTGAAAACTTCAGAAACATAGCACATTGTTTACTGTACAGCTACATGGAAGGCTATAAAAAGTTCCAATTTATGCTCAACATGAGCTAACAAATGAATGAGCCAACTCCATTTTTTCCTCACCTGTGTACCTATACCCAGCCCCATGCTGACTATGGGTCTCAAGGAGGACAACTTGGGCAGTAGACGTAACTGAGAACAACCCAGAGATATCCCAGCATGCATCATTTCCATGGCTTCCTTCTCGCTCATTGGAGCAAGGGTACCCAACTTTAAGAAATCTGGAATTAAAGGACCATTTGAACCAAAATCAAACACTAACAGATGGAAACTAACTCCTATTATAATCACAATGCTATGTACTTATCAGTTATGAATAATGATTACTTGGCATGGCATCTGCCAAGTACCATGCATGATACTGAAAATTCTCAAATCTTTTTAAGTATTCTCCTGTAAAACTGGATTCACAAAAAATAAATAATATATAAATAAATAAACCAGAAAAGCTTTTAGAGAGCACAGAATTCAAGACAAATCATTTCTCATTATTAATGAATCAATAAATAGATCACCAAAATCTCTTGATTCTAAGTGAAAAATTTTATCAATATCTGTCCATAACCTTTTTTTGGTTTTGGCAAAACACATGTATTATTAAGTAACATACAAACAAAAACATCGCCTTTTTGGTGGAGGAAAAAATAAATAAATAAATAAATAAATAAATAAATAAACTAACCGGACACCCCCTTGGCTCTGAGTGTCATCCAGAGTCTCTTCCTGAAGTAGAAGGTGTGATACCTATAGGGCCCTGTCTCTGTGATGTAAAAGTAGGACTGAAAGAAAAACATCAAATTCCACAGAACTAAGTTACGGAAAGAGTTCAAGAGGGACAAACAGTTTTAAGAACACATATAATACAAATCTAAAATTGTTAGTTATCAATTTCAAATAGTTTATTGATAAAAGATGGTCAGATCTATAATTTGACATTTTGTTGCACTCGATTAGTAGAATAACAGCATTATACCAATCAACTGCCATATCTGTAAGCAATGTTGTCTGTGCTAGCATGACAGGCCAAAATATAAATAATGAAATACAAAAATATGTTAATGAAATGTTGATCCTGAATTATTTCAGCTTCAATTTTCTTTTTAACAAATTACCTTCAGTGTAACCATGACAACCCTGGTCATGATCCACCACAACACCATGGCAACAAGGTTTTCCCTCACTACAGGGTTCTTTACACTCTTCAACCACTTGCAGTGAGACACCTGAAACATTGTGTGAAAGTTTTTTTCTCTTAATGCATAAGATTTTATATCATAATGTTTACTTGATTGTATTATTCAAACTTAATATTTCCACAGGAAATTGCATTAAATCTTGCTGCTATCTTTATTGTAGACATATTTTAATAAATTGTGCAAAGTCTGCTGAAAACAAAACAATGGATTTTAGACAATAAAAAACTTTATTATTAGATGCATAGAGAGTCACAAATGTGTGAATGTTAAAACAAGCAATTCTAATAGCTACCCTCTCTCTCTATCTCTCTCTCTCTTTCTCTCTCTCTCTCTCTCTCTCTCTCTCTCTCTCTCTCTCCACCACTTACCTTCATTTTTCTCATAATTTCACCCAGTTGTAAAGTTTCATATCTTCCAAGCCCAACAAACTTTCGAACATCTAAGATACAAGTCAAGGTTACTAAAACTTGAACTTTTTCATAAAGATAAATAAATATATATCAGCATTACTCTAGGCTATTAATAAAAGAGTGGTATTTTCTTGGGATAAATATATAAACTAAATTTGTCCAAATTTCACCTTCATCACAATGTGCACCACATCTTGATTTTAATTTTAATACTCAGCATCAACATCTTAAGTCTTAACTAATCACTAAATTCTTTCAGCATTTTGAAATGCTAAAATAAAGTATCTCAAGATGAAAAAATATAAAGGATACTTTTAAGAAATACTCTTCTGTTGTAAGGAGACCCAAACAGCTGGAGTGGCACTATCCTCTTCAACAAAGATCTCAAAAATAGGTACACCTAAAACAATTAACTCTGCAATACAATGCAATACAATATAAACAACCCAAACTACATGCTCATCATGTAGAATCAAATTAACCTTGGAAAAATTCATGTCTATTTCATTCAGCAAAACATTGAGCTTCCTTTCTAATTAAAAATGAATGTGAGATACTCTTAGGACCAAGGACCTGAGGTACACCTGGTGCAATCCTACATTTATTCATTATTATCATTCTTCTTCTTATTATTATTGAATATTTTAATTCCTCTTATTCTTACATACCTTATCGTCACTTTTTCAACTTATAAAAAAAAAAAGAAAAATATTTAGAATTGCTGTATTATGTCACCTGTCTGTGTCTGGAGTGTGTTTCTAACAACTGGGCCACTGTTGGACCTCCCATCTTCCCTCTTCTAACCACCTTGTCTGCTGCTGACTGGGAACTTTCTCCTCTGCTGGGAAGCCTTCTGGCTCTGGGTCTGCAGGTTTTCAACTGTGGTGCTTTGCAGTGATAGTTCAACAAGCTATATATGATGGACTTTTTCCTGAAATGTTGAGGATAGAGCTACATAATTGCACACATACAAAAAGAAAAGAGGGTGCCATTAGAATTCCTGATTCTGAATTACAAAATGCAAAATATATAAATAAACAAATGTAAATATATTACATCATCAGTGAGACTGAAATCAAAGCTTATGACCCTATACAACTATATCCATAATTATTTCATTAAGTTTTCCAAACATTCCAAATATGATCAAAATTACCCTATTTTGCAACTAGCATTAGTAACTACATTTACATGTCTAGAGACAATGACTGAATATTATAATTTACAGTCCAAAATCCAAGCATTCAGTTTTGACCCACAATTTAGCAAATAAAAAAAGTAAAACATTCTGATCACCTCAAATTTTCAAGTAGACAAAACAGGAGTGGTTTGACTGCACTGGTGACTGTAACACCTAGTGTAGCTTCCCTCACATCCTTTTCACTACATTTGTCATGTGACACAGTAGCCATGGAAACTGAAGCTGCAGTGGTGACATCTATCTTTAAAAATACCTCCTCCACTAGATCATCAACACAAGTAGGGTGAAATGAGTCTGAAAACAATACATTTCATAAAATAAATTCTGTGATTTCACTAGTTTTATGAACATCAGTATACAGTCAATTAAATAAGCATTTTGCCTGTTATAGAAAAACGTATATAATTCTAACTTTCCAGTCCACATTGAAGCACGCCAGCCCCAGAAACACACAAAAAATATTTCAAAATCTGGGAAACTTTACATATGACAACTGGTTCCTCAGACAACATCTGGTTCCTCTACCATATAAAGAAGATAATTATAATACTTACTTGGTAGTTTTTCTCTCAAGTTCCTTGCATAGAACATATTCTTTCTGGGCAACTGCTTGTGATGACTAAACAAGAGAGGAAACTACATGTGACAAAACTTTAGCTATCACAATGAATTAGAGTACAGTTTGTCTCAATAATGAACCCGTGGCACACTTAGAATTCTTATTTAAATATTCACAAATAGAAAACAATTTTCTAGTATTTATCTACCATTTTGCCTATGTAACACTAAAATAACAGTCAAATAACTGCAAGGCTCATTTCAAACTAAGTCACATTTCTTTTTAAAAAATGCCTAAAAGGTTGAATGCATAAAAGGATCAGGTCAACATGGCAAAATATTCCCTGCAAAAGTGTGTTGGTGACTGAGCACTTTCAATTAACCCTGCGATACTGACATTGGGCATAAATGGAAAAGCACTGAAATTACCATTTTTTTAAACCCATTTCGACGCAGATGTCCAGATGATTGAAATCAGTTGAAAGAAATCCAAACAGATACTTCCTGTTGCTGTTACATGGTCATTTTATAACCATCAACAATCTTTTAAAATGTACCTTTTATTATAAACCAAAAACAGATTTCATACTGACATATATATAACAGGTGCTTGTAATCTGACTCACCTATAATGTTGAACTTTTTGAGAGTCCACAATGATTTTTGGCCTTTTGCATGGAATATCATCCATCATTCCATCAATACCCTGACTGTCAGGTTGTTCACAACTAGGATGCAGCGCCTTCTCTGAGAAAAAAATGTTTTAAAGTTGACTGGATGCAATACAGTGCATATAAAACCTTGACTGCGATCTAAGAGTGGAACTTTTCTTCTGAAAACAATCTTTCAAGCAAACATTCAAACAACTGTATGAAAATAACATAAACACACAGTATTAATTCTGAACAATACCATAAAGTTAATTTATTCACCAACAAAAGAAACTGTTTTAAAAGTATGAAAATGTGACACTACAACTACTATAACTATATCTATCTAAGCCTGCTAACAATACTCAATACTTAAATGATGATATTAATGCACAAATTACGATAATTACACTGTGAACTGTCCAATTTCTTCTCTAGAAGTGCTTTCATCTCATTTACTTACACATAGCTTTAATTTATTGTGCAAATTGTTCCATATCTTTTGTCTAAGATATGAGATATATTTTGTCCATGTCAAAAAATAAGTAATAAATAAATAAGTTAAAAATAAAGACCTTTACTTTGCTGCTTTCCATCCATTGTCCTTTTCCTCTTCCCCATGTTAGAAACCATCCCTGTGATATCTTTTCCACCATAATGGCAGGTGGGGTTTAGTTGTGAACATGTACCTTCTATCCTAGATATCATATCATACACTGGAACACCTGTAGTATCAAATCAAAATGACACTAAGTATACCCAGCACTTCAAATTAAGAAGAAACATACCACATACATATACTAGAGTATAGAAAAGTACTCTTTCAAATGGTGTAAAAAATATTTTCAGTACTATTCTCTTAAATGTTGTGGGGGGGGGGGAGACTTTTCTTCATATAAATCCTATTTTTGCTAAATTTCAAGTCATCTGTGACTTTTTTTGAAAAAAAAAATCATCACCACATTAAAATATTAATCCCATTTAACCTGTTATTTGTATATAGGAGTCTTGACCAACTGGCACAAACATTGACTGTCTCTCTAGAAGATACATCATCAGCTGGTCACCTATCCTGAAAATATCATAGAAAAAGTAAAAAATTAGAAATGCCAGGAACAACACATGTATTTCACAGTAAGGGACATAATGATATCTGACATGAGCCTAACACAGATATCTTTACATGCATAAACTACGATAACAGTGACTAATGACTCTTATAAATCTTCCACATAAAGCTATATATTATTTGGTAATCATTAAAAAAATTTCAGTCTTTGCAGCCTTTCTTGTGCTTTTACTGTAATACAACTACATATATAGGCTAGACTTCTTTTCAAATTTGATGTTATATATGTGAGATGCAACAGTGTGTGTGTGTGTGTGTGTGTGTGTGTGTGTGTGTGTGTGTGTGTGCGCGCGCACGTGCATGCATGGAGGGGGAGGGGCAAGGTACTGGTACACTACATAATAGTAGTACAGTTGAATGTCCTTGCAAATCTCTCCTGTAGGACATCTTATAGGGACCATTCCCAGACCGTATCGTACTAACTGTGGATCAATCTATCTCCAAGGGGATTCTTGCTAAATTGCAAACAACTTAAGCAGCTTTGATATCTGTCATGCCTACTGAAGCTGCTAGGGGGGTAATACTAATTAACTATCGTTTTGAAGCTTCAGTAGGTGTGCCAGACATCTAAGCTGTTAAAGCTGNGTGTGTGTGTGTGTGTGTGTGTGTGTGTGTGTGTGTGTGCGCGCACGTGCATGCATGGAGGGGGAGGGGCAAGGTACTGGTACACTACATAATAGTAGTACAGTTGAATGTCCTTGCAAATCTCTCCTGTAGGACATCTTATAGGGACCATTCCCAGACCGTATCGTACTAACTGTGGATCAATCTATCTCCAAGGGGATTCTTGCTAAATTGCAAACAACTTAAGCAGCTTTGATATCTGTCATGCCTACTGAAGCTGCTAGGGGGGTAATACTAATTAACTATCGTTTTGAAGCTTCAGTAGGTGTGCCAGACATCTAAGCTGTTAAAGCTGAAAGCAATTTAGCAAGGAACTCCTCGGAGATGGGTCAATCCTGTTAGATCGATCTAAATATGGGAACCCAGTCATAGGGACCATTCAGATTGAGAAGAGCAGAGTGCTATTAAGGCCCCGAACTAAATATGGCGGACCTACATGAGAGGCGGAGAGACCATTACAGGATTAGTGGTCTTCCTTTCATGTAGGCCTGCCACATTTAGGTCACAGCCTTACTAGCACTCGGCTCTTCTCAATCTGAATGGTCCCGTAGACATACCTAGAATGAAGTGTTTTCCACGCCCTACAGTGCAGCAGTGCATTAGTGTGGTTGGGATAGGCATATTCTGAGCGTAGGCAGGATGATATTTGTGCTGCAGAGTTATGGGAGAGCTGAAATCATTAACAAAGACAAATAATACACATTAATTCTTGGATGTAACACACAAAATTGGTTCAACCACTGATGTTACAGTATCTATCAAGTAGATAGTATTTGGAGGTAAAACAGCAAGCATGAGTAACTAAGTTCTTAAGCTGAATATGCAATTTAAGCAAAGTGCTCAAAAAGAAATCTGATAGTGTAACATATATAACATGTATAATTTACAGTACTCATGGAAATCTATGACCTACTGGAATAAATAAGATGCCTTACATAATAATATGATTAATACACAAAATACTTGTACATCATTGATAGGCAGCCTTAAAATATAAAGTAAAGCAAATGAGATGTTTTATTTTTTATCTCTCAGATATATAAGTTGGCTTAAGTTTTCTACAATGACTACGTATTAACATCATAGAGATATCTCACTTCGTAGTGTCCAAAAGAAAAAACATTCTTTTCACATTTTTTCTTGACGAGTTTCTGAAAAAAAAAAAAAAAGAATGCATTTCAATTTTAGTATATATAAATGTATCTTAAACCAAGCAGAGTGATTGCAACAGCTAAAAAAAACCAACGATTTAAAACTGTCTTTGTTAAAGGAGATCTGTGATGACTGGATTATTTTGAATGGGCAATATAATTTATTTATATTTACCTATGTATTTATTATTATTCATTTTATTCACTCAATCATTATATAAAAAGTCATAAAAATCATTTTCCCATCTCTAACCATGATGACTGGGACTTTTATCTAAACAAAAAATAACTTTGTTGAGAACAAAAATCCGTTACCTTGAAGGAAATGTGTTTATACATTTTACCTGAATCACGTTGATACCCACTTCACTCAGTTTGGTAAGCGGAGTGTAATCGACTGACACAGGGACACCAGCACCAACACTGTCTGTAGAACCAACCATCACATCATGCAGAAGACTCCTATAGCTGTGGAAAAATTAGAAGAAATATATGGTAATGACTAGATCTTTTCAATGGGGAGGGGGTTAATTTAATGGACTGGTAACAAACTGTTAAGCAACCTACTATACCTGTCACACTACACCATCTCTTAGCAACCTACCTATCACTGTCTCTTAGCAATCTACCTGTCACTGTCACCGTCTCTTAGCAACCTATCTCTGTCTCTTAGCAACCTACCTGTCACTGTCACCGTCTCTTAGCAACCTGTCCTCCAACTCTTGACTGGAGCCAATCACTTTGGCCGTCTTCAGGAGAAAATGGTGAAGGGAGTCCACATGGCTGAATAGCTGGTTTATAATCTCCATGATAATTACTGAAAAAAATACACACTGAAGTGCAATACATGACACTGTTTTACTTTACTTTGCTTTTCTTTGTATTTTTCTTTCTTTCTTTTTAACCTTCAAGGTACTGCACTCTCCTTGGTATTTACTAGTACCTGGCAGGCCAAAATGAATTTTCCTCAAGAAAAAAGGGAATTTTCTCCTGCTCACGAATCAATGCTCGGCCAGTATCAGTATAACATTTCTTATTAAATATTGGTGAAAACCACTTCAGGATATATTAAAATCCAAACACTAATAGACAAATCTTACCCCCTGAAATGATGCCATACCTGAAATTTAATTCATTACTGATAGACAACTATAAAGGGCCTTTAAACTGACTGGGCAAAATCTTTTAAAATATTGAATTTAAAATACAAGCTCGGCGTAAAAATCCTATTGCTTCAAAAAGGAAAAAATACAGGCAAGCTACCC